CAAGCCGGAATGACCGTGGGCAAAACACAATTCAAGCAATCATTTGGTGGGCTTCCGAGGAGTGCTATAGGTGATAAAATTAAGATTGATGAGAAATGAGAGGATCGATTAAAATTTGGCACTGATGATCGATCAGGAGGGGATATAATGTGTGCGCCTGAATAATCTAATTTCGTGAGGATTGACATGATCGAGACTCAGTGTTATATTATTCCTACTATCATCAACGACTTCATGAATAAATCCCGACGAAATGTAAGTGAAATGAAATGTGGAATAAAAAAAGTAACATTTATCAGTAATTAATGATTGGATGATTTCGTGGTATGGCTGGTAGTAAGTGATTCAAGTGAATTTGGGAGAACTAGATTAGATAGTTGCCAGAGGATAAGTTTATATAAGAAAGAAAATAATATGTATTGTGAAAAAAAAAAATAGTGATTAATGTGGAGTAATTATTGCCCTCTATTTCTTTTTTGCTATTCTCCTGTTAAAATTTTATGTTTCCCATTAAATTACCTTTTTACCTTCAAACAATAAATACACATGCATTATGAGTGTAGTGTGTCTTTTCATTAGTCATTATCAAATTCACTATATTTTATCACTATGCATATTATTACTTATATAAGAAATTGTGTTAGACGTTTTCTTCTTGTTTTTCATAAACAGGAAGAAATAATTCGTAAAACATTACATTCTGAGGGCGGTCAAATTCAAATCGCCTCGTGAGGGAGCGAATATTTTATCTCTTCTGAAAGAAAAACAAGTACATACATATAAATAAAAATGACGGGATGTTTTTCATTGAAAAAACATTTTTGTTTTTTCTCCAAACTTATTTGCGTACGATATTACGAAATGAATTTAAAATAACATTTTTTTTGTATGAGAATCATTAACAAAAATCTTTTTTAATAATAAAACAAATAATTTAGTGCTACGAACGGTAGACCAAGTAACCCTATGCAACCCCATAAGAAAAAAAAAAGTAATAAAAGAAAAATTAAAAAACTTATATAATTTATCTTATGTAGTATTAGAAATAGTTGAGTAGCTGAGATCAAGCAAAACCCAACAAATCACTGGGAATTACAACATTACAATAGAGACAGCAATGCCTCAGAATTCACTAAGAAATGTTCTAAAATTTCTACTTTTAGTCTAAAATACTCCTTGGTTTCTAGTGTTCCCTGAATTATGTCAGCACATTTCACAGAATCACCATGAGCTTCACCCATATAACCCGCAGCGAGATCAAAAGTATCATTCCCAAAAAGACTCATTGCAGTGGTCACATTGGAATAAGAGTCACGTAGATAAACTGCGCAATTTAAGCATATTTCTTTAACTTTTCCATCTTGTGTATCATTAGCCATCTCGTCAAGTTTTGGGATGACATTCCTAAGCCTATTGATACAGCACTCCATGGATGCTCGGCCAAGGCCGACTTCGTCCTCGTCGTATCGACGATCGTCTTCTTGAATGCACATTTGACAGTGATCCGGGACCGGCAGTTTTCCGCACACCTTGTCGATGAGGGCTTGGTCTGCACTCACATTTTGTAGGTTATTATTTGCAGCCATAAGAAGACTGCAAAATAATAAGATTAAAAGGCTAATGCGCATCATTCTGTGAATTTTTTTCAGATATTAATTACTACTGAGGATTTTTAGGGAGGTGGATTTTTAATAATGAAGGAACTGAGCGTTGGTTCCGCCGTACTTAAATACTACCACATTTTGCAGAAGATTTACGTACGTTTTAATCACCATCGCGTGCGAAAATCGATTAGAATTGCTTCGATATAGTGTACACCTTTGTGTACACACTTCGTTAATTAATCAGAAAGAGAATTTGCCTATAGCTAATTAATTAGTTTTACAAAACCTACAAACTCTAACTCTGTAACAATAATTTTTAATAGAAGGTTAAAAAAGAACCCTCCACAGCTCCACCCTCCCCCTCCAACTTTTTGAAAATTTACCAATCACGCAATCAATTGTACTATGTCCCAAAAAAAATAGTCTACTATAAATCTTCAAATTTGTACTAAAACAACGGAGAGAGTATATATATTGAATCTTCAAATTTTAAGTTTCATTCCTTAAAAAAAATATTCTCTAATCAGTAAGCGTTGTTGTTAAAGAAGTATATAAAGGTGCAGCCAAACGTTTTCGGAGGCCTAATCCGAATTTTAAAATTGCGGTTTTTTGAAGATTGATAATTTTTCTAGATTTTAAGACATTAATTCTTAGATGAAATTGTCATAATCTATGTTTTATAATAAATCCCTTTTCAATTGATACCATGTTTATTTATTTATTATTTATATATTTATTTCTTGCAACAATGTTGATTTAAGTAGTTTTCTTTTCTTACGTTTGGCTTTGGAAAAATTCTTAAAGTTGGACACCAGTGAACAGTTTGATGAGAAAAAAAAAAGTATTAAAGTTAAAATAAATTAATTAGGAGTCGAACAATAGTACAATACAGCATCTGGCCTGAAGCTTATGATCAAACAATTTAAGGTAAACAATTAAATTTTTTTTTCCCAAAAGCTTAATGTTAATCCCTCTTTTTTTTTTCTTTTTTTCTTTTTTGCCCCGTCGAAAAATGATAATTCGCTTATCAACTGTCTGCAAAATTTAATTTCAGAAAATTTAAGAGAATCTTACAAAGAAGTAAGCTAAAGTTTTGTTAATAAAAAATAAAGGATCAAAATGAAGAAGTTTGGAGAAGCCCGAGAAGGGGATTGCTAGAAACATTGAGGCGTTAAAGTAATAAATTACAGTTAAGTGTTTGAGGTGAATTGGGAGAGTCGTTTGATCTGTTCTTACTTTGTACAAAAGAGTTGTTTATTGTTTTTTTGGTATAGTTGAGAAGATTGGAAATGAAAGGCAGATTTATTATTAGGAGAAAATTAAAAATAGTGAGATAAATTTGGAAAAAAAGAATCTATTAAACTTGTGTTCGTGGCCTTTGATTCAAAAAATGAATAGTGTTGCCTCCTATTTTTGTATAGTAGCACTTTATATTTCTAATGATTTTATTACGATTAATGATATTCATGGAGAAAAATTACGAGTAAAAATTGTAAATAAAGTAGAACTTCTATAACTTAATAGTATTGGGACCACAAAATTTTGTTAATTTAGTGAATTATTAAAATAATCGATAAATTAATAGATTATTAATTTATCGATAAATTAATAAATTATTATTTTAAAGATTTTTTCCTTTATAAACCCTACTATAATACTTAAGTTTCCATCTTTTTTTACAATCCTAAACAAGTAAGGAATGTAATTCTTTTTAATAATAAACTCAAACCTAATAAGATGAATGTCAATCAGTTGGTGGATTATTCAGATAAAAATGATGAATCTACAGAGGTCAAATTATTTGAAGGTATTGTGACTAGTGTCCTTGAAGATAATTTAATTCAGGATAAAGGTGATGATGATTCAGTGCCTTTGGCACCAGTCACACGAAAAAAAGCATTCAAATTAACAATAATTTTTCAGAATTTCTTATTGCAATTTGAGAATACAACACCAAAGCTCTCAAGGGTAATGAGACAAATCAAGGATAAAATTTCATTGGATTTGAATATCAAGAAAAAACAAGTATTAATAAGCTCATATTTTACAAATCTTCCTAAATATTAGTATTTTTTTGGCATTTAAGCCATTTATTAATTTACAGTATTGGTGGGACCTGTAGATATATAAGGGGTTTTCTAAAATATTATTATCTTATTATTTTATCGATTTTTGTCACTTTTTGTACTGGTTCCAAGTTGGAACCGGAGAATATTATTAATTGTTAGAAGTTATTAATTTATCAATTATTAATTTACCGACGTTCTAATGTAATGGTGTTGTGACGTGTTGTCTAATTGAAAATAGATTATGGTGGAGGTTGATAACTTCAGCGTTGTTGGTGGAGGGTGATGAAGAAGTATTTGACATGCATCGGAAACTTAGTGATAGCTATCCGTAAATTAATGCAAAGGTCGTGTTCTATTGAAATGAAATACAGTATATACATCGGGAGTTTGAGTTTTGTTGCTGACTCACTAACAACCAATGTATATTAACCAAATAACGGGGAGGGAAAAAAGGGGGAAATTTTGAACTTCTTAGCAATGGAGCAAGAGAATTTGAACCAAAAAAAAAAAGTAAAGAAACGCAAAAGGTGAAGGAGGGACATTGTTGGAGACCTAACCTAAGTAACAAAGAGAGCCAATCAGGAGTTAGATTTTATGATTGAAAGAAGATCCTTATGATGAACACTATTTGCTATGGGGAGAAAACGCCTTGCAACACAAACACAAAGAAGCCGCGACCTCATCACGGACTGACAAGTTACCGGAAATTAACATTATCCTAGCAATTAACATTAGGAAGAACCCAAATTGGTACTTCCTCCTTCCCAAAAAAAAAAAATATAATACACATTAATTGAATTTTGAGTTTTGTACTATTTTTAGTACAAATTTATAACCTTAATATGAACTATTTTTTTGTTGACGGAGATAGTAGAAAATTGAGAACACAAATTAGAATAAAAGACCGAAAAAAGAAAGGAGATAGAATTGGACCAAGAGGAGAAACCATTTGTCATCTTGCTTGGACATTGGTAATGAGAATAATAAGGATGATCCATTGATGAACGCTTTTAATTAACTGATCGATGCACTAGTTCTAGGATTGTAATTGTCGGTTCAGTATCAGTTTAATTCCGTTAAAACTACTACAGCCTAATTCTATCCCTCGACATACATGGAAAAATCCTAGCCCTGTCCCTCAGCATACATGGAAAAATATTTTCCACGGATTTCACTGTGAAGCTACCAGTGCTCTGGTGGTTTTTGACGGCCTTACAAAATTTGGACATTTTATTTGCCTTCTCGTATTAACCAAGGTTGCTGAGGTTGTTTCTTAAGGAAGTTTATATACTTCATGGACTACTAGATGAGTTCTCAAAAATGTCCCTTATCTCCAAACAAAAAAAAAAGAAAAGAAAAGATGAGTTCTCAAACTAGGTCCCTTATCTCCATTCAAATTAAGCTTTCAAAATGTCCGTTTTCATACTTGACATCTTGTAGCTAGAATAACAAGGAAGTGTTGGCAAATGTAGATCCAACAATGGTATTTTCAAACAAAAAATAAAAGGATTCAACAATGCAGCATAACAATCTTTCTGCTTCTATATCATAAACTATCCTTGTTTTCTGATCTTTCCTTGTCCGGGGATTCAATCTGATCTTTCATGCAGCTCAATGTCACAGTGAAGTCATTGCAACAGCTTGTTATCCCCTCACATGGAGATCAGCCAAACAGCAGGAGATCTCTCAGACAATTCACAATTTTAAAAACAAAGTAGGTACAAGTCACTGGTAAGCTAAAACTGCAAGAGACTCAGATATTTACAAAAATTACACTGATACAACAGTTACCAAGAAATCTAACTCGTTTTTTACCTCTTCACGGTACAAATGTCAGCAGAATTTGAAGCAACAAGACCTTCATAGGTTTTCATGGTTCTGTCCTTTCCATCTGACATTTCTTAGCCACCCTTTCCAAACGAAAGATAAATCAATCTTCATATCTTTCTGAATATTCAATGCTTGCAGTTTCCAGTTACCTATCCATCCAAAATTAATGGGCGATTGTACTGCTCGCAAATTCACAAGTTGATGTCTATAAGGTATCAGAACATTCCTGAGACCTGAGATGCACATTGTCTTATATAGGTTAGCCACCCAAGGGTTCCCCTTTATTTTCATATCAGACTTCTCCAGGCATTCAAGAAACGCCAAATCTGCCTTCAGGAGCTCAGCCTGGTCATGAGTATCATAACCAATGTCGTGACAATAACAGCAAAAATCCAACCAGTCAATGGGTCGTTTATCCCACACATGGGAGCCCCGATCTTTTCCACTGGACCAATTCGGCCCACAGTAATGGCCATAGCGCGGAAACATTTGAGATAGAACTGCTCTTGGACCTGTATGCCAAGGAACCTTGGAAACATAAGGTCTGAACCGTACAGAGGGATACTGGTCCAAAGATTTAGCACCTCTGTGTGCTCGCGCATGCTTTTTTAACTCCTTACTGATAGTTGCTGGCATTTGAATTTTATTTCCAGAGCCGATATTCCATGGAAGAAATGAGAAAATAGACAATCCCAAGATCTTAAAATCAATAGCAAACACACGTTTAGGAGCTTCCACAGTTACACCCTTGGTAGTGCTTCCCATGTTTTCACTAGGTTGCAACCCAAACGATGAGCCAGCCATCTTGTTTAGGAAACCTAAATTTGTAAACTAACAAACTCAAGCAGGCTAATGAAGAGCTTTGTTTCAAACTTGAGTTTGATTCTCACTGCACCATCCTGTTTTTCGCCTGTAACCCCCAGTGTCACCAAAGCTTCAACAACCCAGCTATTGAACAACTATTGCATCGAAATCTCCGATACATGTAAACCTACTGCACCCTCCAATGCCAGTCAATCCCCACCACTCCTTTAAACAGATAAAAACCTATTTAGTCAATCATACACTACATAAACAACACTCTCAATTCTCACTCATTGATTACCAAAACGAATTGCTGAATAACACCCCTATAAGCTAAAGAAGCATTACCAACTGACTAATTGCTCCTGTAACATAGTTTTCCAGCCAAAAAGTAAAGACTACACTTAAGAACTGAGATCAAAACTATGAACAGAAATTTGGTCCGGAGATTGACTTAACGGAATAAAACCCAAAAACCCAAATTGGTAGTAGTATGAAAAATTCAGATAAGAAAAAGCAAGATTGAGCGCACAAATTGTCAACAACACAACCAAAAAACCCCAGAAAGTAAAAGGAAAGCTTACAAGTAATTAGGATGAACATGAATACCAGTAATCACACGCTCAGTCTTCAAAAGGATTTCAAAAGGGTAAACTTGTTTAGGTTGCTGCTTTGCTTGAATTTGATCCCAGAATATCCGTGGCCATGTGTTTATCTGTGCTCTCTAGCATCTTCCATTTGCTCTAAAGAAGAAAGATACGGCTTTTTTTTTTTTTTCTTATGTATATTTTCGCGTGACGCGGATGGTTTGATGGACCCGGTTTAACCGGTCCTACTACGAGCCGATAAGAAAGCCGGGTTTTTATTCTTTCATTTTCTATTTGCTGCGGAACGCTTTTGTCTATTCAATTTTCAATCCCCTCCATTTCTCTCAGGACCAAGAGCAGCAATCCAGCATCTCCATCGGTTTTAATCCCAACTTCTCCGGCAGCTCAGTAGCACACTGGTGAGTTTCTTCGTCTTCTGTTTTTCTTCCATGGTGTTTTTTTCTGTGATTCTTGATGTAAAATTGTATAATTGTTCTTGTCTTGTTCCTATGGCTCTGAAGTGACTTAAAGTGAGACTGAAAACGGTGGTGTTTGGATATTTGAAATTTCATTTGTATTTTGAATTTGAGGTTACGCATAATTAGCATTTCATCTGTTGGTACTAATAATTATTAGTTGAATTCTCAAAAACAAATGGTGACTGACTGTGAGAAATTTTTGCTGTGGAAGTGTGATTGATTTCTCTGCATCAGTAAACAGCAAGTTGCTAACTTCCTGATTTCATTATATGTTCGCCATTAGCTCAAAAGTGAAAGAAACTTCTTCTTTTTATTAGTATTTTTCCCCCTATGTTTGTCCTCTTTTGGTGGGGTTTTAATCCTGACCTCAACTGGGCCATTGGAGCTGTTTGTAGAGATAAAAATGGCAAAATTTAATATTGATATTGTTCTCTTTATGTTTCAGAGGAGTCGGGTTCATTAAATTACACAGTGAAGAAGGGTTATATGGTGGAGTGAAGTTGTGGAGTATTCCCTGTGCACAGATTAGCCCTGAAGGGGCCAGATTCAGACTTTCGGCTAGTCCATAGGTAGTATTATTTGCTCCTTGAATCTGTGTTTTCTTAATTTCAATCAGTCAATGAATAATGAGAAACGTTTTATTCAGAATTCTGGTGTTTGTGTCAATCTTTCTTTTCCTGGAAATTTTATATCAACAGGCATTTCTTTCTCTTCGGAATGCTGTGTTTGAGGTTTTCTCCAGCTGTATTTACTAAATGGTCGGAAGGGGTTCAACTTAATCTCAGCAAAAAGAACATTGTGGTGAGCTTTGTGTTCTCCCCAGACTATTTTGTCTACCAATTTATTGATAAACATCCAGTCACGTTGCTTTCCGCATAAGTTTTTTGGCATTTTATTGATTTCTTCTTCTTAGTCATGCTGGTATGTATCTTGGAGAAAATTCGGGCTTTGTTAGATCTGACTGTCTTTCTAAATCTCATCGCAAGTAATTGTTTGTTTACACGCACAAGTAATCAAAGTACAAACATTTGATCTCTGGCTGACAACTTTTCCAGTTAATCCATGGCCAATGCCTGAAAAATTCTCTTGCTGTCAGAACTTCCACGATTCTTTGAAGTTGCAAATTCTTTCGTTTCTTCTTTTATTAGATCACATTGTTACTGGACTTCTTCCCCTTAGTTTGTTAACATAATCATTTCAAAAAAATTTCTAAAAAGAATAAAAGATTCACCCCCTGCTCCCAGATACTTACTCAACTTTGAATTATGAATGAGAAAACTCTTGTTGATTGTGGCCTTAAGCTTTTTTAACAGTTGATATCCTGGAGTATATATTGTACCTCGCCTGGGAGCATGCAAAACTTAGTATTCCCTGTTTGATTGTTATTGAGTGCCTTTTGACTACAAGGAAACCACATACATAAAGTGCTGAGAAAGACTAATCAACCAGATCATGTCTGGTTTCTAAATTGATGTGAATTGGGTTTTTTAATATCAGACACCAAATTTGTTCTTAATGGTCGAATGTAGATGTATCTGTTTATTATCGAAACTTACGGGGCTATGTAGAATGTGCATATATTAATACACATCTTGGCAAATGTTGCAAACCTTTTTAAAGTACTCTGATGGATATTGAATTTTTTTTTTTTTTTTGGTGGTACATAGTAAGGAGGCCTACGCCTAACTTAAACTATTACATTCCGGGGATAAGCCACCCCCATAGCATTGCGGCGTAGCCATTGATTGACTAACACGGGAGGGTTGGCTAGTTTCCTAACACCCCATTCTTCTTGATCTCTCATTCCGGCAAGAGAATTAGCCGCAAAATTGGCTTCTCTGTGAACACACCTTAGTAATACCGTCCAACTTCTCTCCATCAGTTCCCTGATCCCCTTTATAATTCCTCCATGGACTCCGGTTTGGCTTTCTGGTCTGTTATCAGCTGGAATTCCTCCATTGAAGTATTTCTTTCATCTGAACTCATGTGATAAAATTGTCAAATGGAGAATGAAAACAAATGGGACCCTTCTTTTCTTTAGTTTATATGTTTCAGCTGCAATTTGTCTCAGGTATGTGCTGCTAAAGGTCCCCGACCACGGTATCCAAGGGTATGGAAAACAAAAAGAAGAGTAGGAACAATTTCCAAGTCTGTGAAACTTGTTCAGTGTGTAAGTAATTCTTTGTATTGACATTTTTTAGCTTTTTCCGTTTCATAGTTCCACATTACCAATCAATTATACTTCCTTATCTTTTCCTTGTTTCTCTATATCTGCAACACTACATTCTGGAATAAAATTTCTTTGAATATATATATTTTTTAATGTTAAGATATTTTAGAGCACCATGTTATCCATGAAATAGCATTAGGCACTTTTGTGAAAGGATGACTTCTGTGGTTAAAGTTCTTTACGACAGGAAGACCTGGTACTCCTTCATTTGGAAGTCAATGCTTAGGCTATTTCTTCCGAGGCTTTTGTGTGTGTGTGTGTGCGCGCGCGCGGGCGTGTGTGTTTCCCACGAAAAGGAACTGAAGGGTCTTTTTCCTTGAGCACTAAGGCAATAATTTGTTTATCCAGTAGCAGATAAAGCAGGCTTAGAGAAACTTTTATCATTCCTGTTCCCATTCTCAAGTCCTCAAACCCAACATCCGTAATATTTTCAGTTTAAGATTATGATAAACATAGTAACTTTGATCTCAAATTACTTTTTCACCCCTTTTTATTTTTACAGTACTAACTTTTCCCCAACTTGTACCAAGTTTTCCGTGGCTTCCACCAAGTTGCTATCATGTTTCTTATGGCTTGAGCTATCTTTTTAAAACTATTGTTCTTGAAAAGCGAAACATTTAAATATCATTCTCGTTTATTCTTGTAGATTAAGGAATTATCAAATGTCAAGGAAGAAGTTTATGGTGCTCTTGATTCATTCATTGCATGGGAATTGGAGTTCCCATTGATTATGGTTAAGAAAGCTTTAAAGACCCTTGAAAAAGAGAAAGAATGGAAGAGAATAATTCAGGTAGTACAATCAATGGGCCAATTTTGGACTTTACGGATTTCCCTCTGTCATATTCACAAACGATTAGGAAACCTGCTTTTTAGGTCACTAAATGGATGCTAAGCAAAGGTCAGGGAAGAACCATGGGCAGCTATTACATGCTGCTTAACGCTTTGGCTGAGGACGAGAGGCTTGATGAAGCTGAAGAGCTCTGGACCAAATTATTCTCTGAGAATTTGGCAAGCACGCCACGTCTTTTCTTTGAGAAGATTATATCGATATACTATCGCAGGGAAATGCATGAGAAAATGTTTGAGGTTTAATTTCTAATCCCTTCTCTTCTCATTCTAAATAAACGGCATCTCTTGATTTTAGTATAGTCCCTTTGTCCCTCTCTTTCTCCTCACATCTAAGGAAAATCACATCCTCCAATGGTGGTTATTTGTTGTTGTTGTTGTTTTTTTTTTTTTTTGAATTTCTTTGGACCATGCATTGAGAGCCTAATTAAATTTATTCATTTCCTTGATGGTATGAGATGAATGATGGAACCCGATTATGATCTCAACATTCACTTTCTTCTGTTTAATATATTTAATTTTAGCAGAACAATTTGTCAGAAAAGTACTTTTAAAATGTTAGGAACTGTGTTTTTCGTTTTCATGCTTTCTTAACTTTCTTGCCCGTCGTTAATGCTTCATTGCAAATTTCATGTACTTCTGCAAGTTCCATTCAAGGTCCAAAGATGGTTTGGGTAAATGAACTTGTCTTGTTGCTCATGTTGTCTGGGAAAGGGTCTGAATGTGTTTATTATTAGTAAGAAACTTTTCTTTAAGAATTTGCCTGCAGATATTTGCAGACATGGAAGAGCTCGGTGTAAAGCCTACTGTGTCAATTGTCAAAATGATGGGAGCAGTGTTCCAGAAGCTTGGTATGTCAGACAAGTACCAGAAGTTGAACAAGAAATATCCTCCCCCCAAGTGGGTATACCAATACGTCAAAGGAGAGCGTGTCAAAGTTAGAGCGTCAGATCTGTATGATTCTGATGATAGAAAACTTCCAAAGGAATCTAATGAGAATTTAAGAGATAGTTCCTTTGTAGCGACTGAGTCACCCAAGATTGAACAGGAAAATAAAGTTGATTGCTGTCAGAATCAAGTCACTGATTCTGCTGAATATGTTGAAACTACTGACACTTGAGTTTGCTGAGACTGTTTCGACATTATATGAAGCTTAGTTCTTTTAATCGTCCAAAATATCATGTTATCCACAAGCTTAGTTCTTCCCCGTTCCTCTGGTGCAGGCCGGAGGAATAAATTGAGGAAGCAATTTTTTTTTTTTTTTTTTGGAGGGGGGGTGTAGTTAATAATTTGTGCGTTTTGTCCGTCTTTTTAGCTTGTAAAGCATTACAGAATCAAGCAGAACATCCTTTAATCCTAAATCCATTAGTTACACAAATTCCATTTACTTTACTGGTAAGGAACCTGAAATTGTCCAGTTTAAAAACATGAAATGAATTACAAACCATTACCGGAAACTTATGCTACTGAAGGATCAGAACTAGTGGAAATTACGCTGTAAACAACCAAGTCCTTCAGATTTCCTTTCAGGTAAGAATATTTTCTGAGGACACCCTCCTTGAAGAACCCTGCTTTCTCCAGCGCCCTTTGTGAGCCTATATTTTTTACATCAGCAAAAGCCTGGAGCCTTGCCACTTCAGGAAGGTCTTTGAAAACTTGGGGTACAGCCATTTTTACTGCTGCAGTGGTGATTCCTCGACCCCAATACTCCACCGATAAAGCGAACCCAATATCTGCTCTGCATCTATCATCACCCGATCCTGGGAAAACTGATATAAATCCAATCGACCGGTCAGCGACGCATATTGAACGTCGCCATGGATGGGGTATGCAGACATCCTTGATGAAGGTCAAAGCTTCATCTTTTGATGTCAGCGTCTTCCAACGGATGAACTGAGTAACGCGATCATCACCGGCCCACGACATTAGATCATCAGCGTCTGTAAGTTTGAACGGACGGAGAGTGATGCTTGAAGCCTCCATTATATAATGTCAATGGGAGGAAATGATGATATTGTGGACTGTTGTTGCAAGTGAAATGGACTCATAACACTATAATGCTCAGGTCATTATTTATTTTAGTTGTGCCAAGATGACTAGTATGAAAGTCAAGTGATCATCCACTTTTCCTAATGTTGTTAAACTCGGATCGGACCTGCCGGTTCAATCGGTTAACTCAAGAACCGAATCATATACCGAGCAGAATTGCTCAAAAACTCGCTGTTTGAGGACTCGGTTAAAACCGATCAAAACTTCAGGTCAACTCGGAGTTTTTGTTTTTTTGCACCATCTGACCAGTTTTGACTTTTCTTCCTTGGATTTTGTGTCTTTCTTTAATATTTCTGGCCCAAATTTTTGCCTTTTGTTCTTAAATGACCCAACAACTTTTCTTGAAAGTATTAATTTGTCACTTTAGCCCCAAACTTTTCACTCCTAATTATTAAACATACCTCTTTTTTAAAGAAAATTTTTATTATTATTTTTCTCACATATAAACCTCCATTGTTTTATTCAAAATTTAAATCATATCTCAAAAATGTTGAAATTGATTTTCATGTTATACATTTTATTACTACTAAAAGTTGATTATCTTATCAATTCATAAATTTTAATGACTAGTAATTAATTTATTAATTGTTAAACTAATATACTGATTTTAATTTATAATTAAATGCTTTAAACAATATTTTTAACTATTACCATAAAAAATATATAAATATTAATTTTTTTAATTATTAGTATATATAATAATTATATATTATTTATTACGTCATACTAACGTTACCGAGACGACGTCCGAGTCGACCTGAATCGACCCCTAAAACCCATGACCCCTTCCCTTGCCGAGTCGGTGTCAAACCCATGACCCCTATCTTTGCCGAGTCGGTGTCCGAGCCGAGTCTTTTCCATGCTGAAAACGACAGGCACATCATTCAATATATACTCCATCAAAATTGGTACTGATGTGGGCGGTGGAGTAGTAAACTGAACTTTACTGGGCTCGTGAAAATGCGAATTATTATTACGTTCAATTTTTCATGTAAGAGATGCAAAATCTCGAATACAGATTCTAACTCTCATTCTCAAACTGGTGAAAATCTGAAAATCCATTCTAAGATATCAAGGAGACAACCTCTATCTAATGCTTTTTCTTCTTGAAAAATGTGAATCAAGTTTGATGTTTTGTAGGTCGTAAAATCAAACAAGGGTATATGCAGAGCAACAAAAAGACTCAAGGTTACTTTCACCAATTTCAACGAGTTGAAATATTCAACCAAAGCAACTCAAATGCTAGAAAAGCAATAGCTAGATGATGGCAAATTCACTCATTAATCTGTTTCTTTGCTCTTCTAAGATACACAACTTGCAGGTGCAAAGGATCTGACCCTAAATGAATCTGCCAATAATCAGGATAACAAAAATACATCAAACAAGACCTGCGACCTACATCTTTATAAACAACACTAGAGAATTACATATTGACCGACAATATACAAAATATCAGCATAAAGTTACTGTACATCTTGAACACCTATGATATATGCATCTTCCCTCCGATTTCTGCTAAAAAACCTTCAAATTCATATCCACAGGAGCATCGCAAGGTCTAAAACCAAGCACTGTCACCTCCAAAAATATATCTAGTATATTTTCACTGAGAGATAAATGCACCCTCGTTGACAAAGCAACCTCAATAAGATGAAATGTCTCAGATCAAATAGTTTTCAAACATCCAAGTTTGAAAATATTCTTTTGAAGCGTAATATGCCCTCAGTATCATAACTAAATGGAGTACAATAGTATCAGCTGATACAAATAAAAAACTTGCCATTACGCATAAATACAACCCAATAGATGCATTAATCAGCAAAATAAAATTGTCAGTCATGTAATGTTTCATTATGAAACGAAGGCCAAACTAGAATACATCACCACTGACCCTGACAAAAAATGACCAAGGAGACTATTAAAGATCATAAAAAAGAGCTTTTAAAGTTGTCAAACGGCCAAGAATGAAAGACAATAAGTCAAATATGATAACGCTGGGCGATCAAGACAACTGTGGATTTGTACAGGTGCGAGAGCAGCATCACAGGCTGTAGGAGATTCTTCACAAATACAATTGTACCAATCATTCATGCTCAATGCTAATACCATGAGTTCCAAATGCAATGAAGAGGGACAGCAATTTAGAAGTTCACTGATAGTATATGATAGAAACAAAGGAACTCGGGATAGATTGCACCAGAGAAACTGTTGAGATACCAATCACTGTGAAACAATAAGCTACAACTTAAGTCATTTATCACACTAATTTCATGTAGGAAGGAAGGAAGGGTCACAAGTACTAATTGGAGAGTTTCAGAAAACCAAAGATGCACCAAATGTGTTATAACAGTACCATTGCTACGTTCTAATTCAGGTTCTAATCATAAAAGATATCTCACAACTTGATGCATAAAAATCAGCAAGACATACCAAAGTTCAGTTTAATCAGATAGGCAAAGAAGGAAGATACAATCTTGATTCAATGCTTTCTAATGTGAGACTGAAACTACACTAATTCGTCACATGATGAAAATTAAGATTACATCTGGGCTACAACATCAAGACTAATCAAGCAGAAGTACAAGTCAGAATTATCAAGAGCAAGTCATAACCATGTGAAGTAGTATATCCTCACCCCATCTCACCAAAAAACTATCCATATGTTTCATAAGCCCCTCGACACCTCATCCAGGACTATTCGACTTATTATTCATTCACCTACTCATCTCGAAGAAAGTCTCTGATACAAATCATCAGCCAAGGCTTGTCTCAAGCTCTCTCCAAAATAGTAAAAAGATTTTTCGTTCTCCAGCACCCTCGGAGGCGTACCACTCTCCTCAGGCTCCTTCCAGGGTTCAGGTTCAGGCTCTTTAGCAATCTGACACAAATTATGCAACACACAACATGCCACAATAGTCTGGGGAGCATGATTGAGACCCACATTCAAATCTTGAAGAATTTTCCACCTTCCCTTCAACAAGCCAATGGCCTCCTCCGCCATCTTCCTCGCCCTCATAAGCCCCTCATCAAATGCATTCTGCGCCGGACTCCCCGTTCTATTCCAAGAGAATGGTGTAAGGCAAAATGACAACAAAGGATAAGACCAATCCCCAACTATGTAAGGTCTCACGTGCTGTCCCCTCACATTGATTCCTTTATCCCACACAATATCACCAGATATTAACCTATTGTAGAGCAAACTATCCCTAAAATGAGTAGCATCATCAAAGCCACCGGGGGCTTTCACACAGACATCCCAAAATCTTCTCTTACTATCTGCTACTACCTGAAGTAAAATCGACGGGTGCCCATCCTTGGAATAGTACATGGAGGGGTTAATCAAATCGGACGGCAGCTTATGCAGCTTCACACTAGTGCCATCAATGGCTCCACAAATATTGGGCAATGAAGTGATTTCCTGAAACCCCTGCGTCGTTTCCGCCACGCGGCGTCGGAGTGTCGGAATTTTGATGTATTCCGGGTAGAGTTTAGTGGCCAGCAATCGAGTGATCATGTTGGTAATCTTGGAAATCAAATAGGGTTCTAGGTTATACCGTGAAGCTAGGGTTTTAGCTGAAAAACCATGGGAGAGTCTAGAGAGTACCATAGCGACGGCGTAATCGGAGGGAAGAGAGAGCTGGGATTGTGTAATGTAGGGCTTAAGCTTATCCACGACGGTAGTGAAAACAGGATAAGAAAGACCGTACATAGATCTCCACTGAGCGTCGCGAGTTGAGGATTCCATCGCCCAGATGCGCTCCGTTGAAAGTGCCCGAAACGCTGCCACGGAGAACTCGTCGGAGGATGGTTGGGCCTTACTGTTGGAATTGGTGGATTTACCGAGGCTTTTGGTTTTGGTAGCGAGCTTAGAAGTGGGGTGAGAGGCGATGTAGGAGAGGACGGAGGCGATGGTGAAGAAGAGGAGAGGGGCGGCGGAGGTGGTGGTGAGGAGGGAGGTGGGGGAGGTGGCGTCGGAGGAGGATGAGGTGAGGTCGGAGATTAGGGAGGTGGTGGGATCGAGGTGGTTGTGGAGTTGCAGCAAGTTGGACAGCATCAGCATCAAGGATTGATCCATTTTTGGTTTTAGGGTTCCGCCGGAGAGGAAGGAAGAGGTCGACGGAGAAGAAATGGAGAATTTTGGGGGTGGTTTCTGAAAGAGTCGGAATAAGGTTTTTTCTTTAAGGTCTCTACGACATTTGACGGATCATTTTTTAGGCGGCCGGCCCCGCGAAGCCGGTGATGTCCGAAGAGACGCCGTTTTGCCGTTGCGTTTAATTAGAGGTGGCATTTTTTGGATGGAAAATGTGGGAAATTGGGAATGGAGTTTTAGGAATTTGATTTCGTTTTTTTTTTCTTTAATTTTTTGTTATTGCTTTTATGGACGCCGTTTCATTTTTTTTCAATTTTTAAATTACTGTTCTTCTTCCTTTTTTTTTTCACCCAACTCTCCCTGCCCTTGAATTTGATTTTGTGGAAATGTGATTCCGAGTCTGTTCTTTGGTGATTGCAAAGTTTGGAATTCGTGAAAAAAAAAAAGTTTAGAATTAATACTACAACTAGCGGAGGAAGCCGCACGAGGTGTGGCTGTGGTGTGGGGGAGCCAGGACATGGTGGGTTTTGTATTTAAGTGAAGTTGAAGATAAATTGTATTACATGTTTATGATATTTATACGAAAGTTATATATATTAATGATAGTGTTTTACATGGGAACTAAATTACAAAAAGTGAAAAAAAAAACGTATTTTACAATGCTTCGTACAAAAATTTTGTAAAAAAAGAGAAACAGGGGATATTTTTTATATGTATAGGATTACATAGGATGTAAGGGAGTGTTTAATTCAACTTCAAGGATTTGTACTTCTTTCTAGCAGCAGTGAAAGGCTCCAGTCTATCTTGAGTGCAGTTTTGAGGGCGTATTTCCATACAGGATGACAAAAGGAATCTTTTTAGTAGTTCGTCTACTTCTTTTTCAAACCAATAGTTGTACGTGCATTGGCCGCAGTGAATACAGGTGCATTTTTGGGGTGGCCATTTTGTGTGTTTGAAGTTGCTATATAGTTGTGGTATTTGGTAGTATTTAAAGACGTTATTGTTGAAAAGATAAAATGATTTATGTGTTGTTGGCTAAGTGGGAGAGTTGTAGGTGGATGGAAATAAAAACGTGGCAATTTTTTGAAGAAGTGGAGTGTCAATTTAAGATATGTAGGATTATAGGTGGGCAAAAATGTGGCAGTGTAGTAAGAGGTGTGTTGTGATGGGTAGTATACGTGGATGAAAAGTGGGCTGTATGGGTTATAAACTTTGGTGATGAGATGAAAAGTGAGTTGTTTTTTTTGCAAATGCAAATTTAGAAGTTATATATGCCTTTTTTTTCTTTGTAAAACAAAATTCAGAAACTGAAATTGAGACAAATCGCTATTTTTATGTGTGTTTATTGAATCAATGAGTTTTATTCTTTAAGAGCAAGAATTAAACAACTATTGTGCAATCGTGATACTAAGAAGAATATGAAGCAAACAAATAATATAAAAACTTACATACTAATGTGGTGGCTTATCATGTCGTTAGAGGAACAATAAACCATTCGGTGCTGTCAAAGGAATTTATGGTGAATTCAAAACATGTGTGCTGCAGAAGTTCATTTATTTAATTATAAAATTGACAATTAAATAAATATACACACTATGGAACCTAATTCAAAACAGCCTATTATGAAATCAATTCATGCCCTTTTTGCACCAATTAAGTAACAGTCGATTTAGATAGCCTCTTCCCCCCTTTTTTTAACAGATAACCAAACACAAAATTTAACATATTTTATATGGGAGACTGGGAAATCTGCGAAGACAGAATTATTTCATAAAGAGTTACAAAATTAAAAAGTACCAATGATACATATAAGTAGTGGTAATAGGAACACCATTAGCTATTTACACAAAATACATATTTACGCAAACATGGGCTCTTGCCATCTCTATGCTAACCTATGCTTGCCAAAAAATAGAGACTTAGTGTTGCTCTATTGTTGCTTTCTAGGAGAAGTAGTTAGAGTGTGTTCCTGTTATATACTGAAGGATGGATGTCATTACCTTTTAATCATGCTTTGCATGTTTTGTGGATTTGTGCGTTTATTTTGCTGCTGATGGAAGATTTCTTTTTGCAGGTAGAGTTTGCATTTCTTGCTGGTTGGATGCACCGGTTTTTTCCTCAGTCATTTTAACATCTGTGGTTGACGTTTTTGGGAAGTTTGAAGAAGTTTCTTTGTCACTGGATTCCACCGCTGTTGAGGATGATGTAGATGAGGGAAGATATGTGGTGACGGTGTATCTTGATGGTATTTCTTGTTGAGTCCTGGTGGTTGATCGCAAGTGGAACATTCGGTCTGAATCTTCAAGGATGTTGTTGATTTCGTCAATGTCTAGATGTTCTTTCTGTGTAGGTGGAAAAGAAAGTTAGATAGTTGTTTTACTTTGTTATGTGTGTATATAGTATCTGTTGAATGATGATGTTTAGTAATTGTGGAAAAAGAGAGTTCCTGGTTGTCGTATTTAGCCAATTGGTCAGCTGACATGGTGAGGAGTTTCTCGGCTTCATTTCCTTCTATGAGAGCGTTGAGACTGCCGGTTCTATCGAAGAGTTGTATTTGAAATTATAGCCTATAAATGGTAGTGATTAGTGGGATAATATATGTAAATTTTGGTCTGGTAAGAAGATTTGTTGATGGAAGTTACTTACGCAGGTTTTGGGCATGGTTGCTCTGTTTTACAATATAAGCAAGAGAATTTCTTCTGATAAGATGCGCCACATATTTTGGAGCAATTTGGACAAGTAAGGATGTACATGCATTGATCTTTGTTGACAATTTTTGGCTTCGCTTTCACCCAAAATGATCTTGGCTGCATGTATGATACGCGTAAGTGAGCGAAAATATAAAATGAGAGTAATCAAAAATTAAAACAGAATGATGAGAAAAGTGCACATTGTGAAGTACCGGATTACTGGAACTGATCACTTGGCCGATTTTTCGAACATGGGAGTCGCTTGGTGCCGTTATTGTCTCATTAACTTTTTCGTATAACTTTTGAGAGATAACCGCCTCTATGTACTCATTGTTGGAGTTGACCCTACAAGTGTTTATGTGGAAAACAAGTCAAGTAATTATCATCCACTGTATACAGCAGGCGAAATTTAGAAATTGTAAGTAATGAGAGTAATTTCAATCACAATTAGTACATGACCATCAAACTTGAACATCTTGTTAAAGAAAATTAAACAATGCTATCAAACTTCTGTCAACAGGAGTGCAAAACTATAACTCTCTTACTTATAATAGCAGCGAAAAAAACCAAAAACATTCAAGAGACATTTCGTAAATAAAAATGCAGAAATTCACGCCTTTCTATCAAGTAATTGGTTAAACACAATTTCTGGGCAGACCATAAGTCCATTTAATGTTCCGTAAAAACCACATTAAATTTTGGTAAACATAGAAGAGTTATCAAAAAGAAAATCTGAAAAAGAGCTTAACACCTGAGAGAAACAAGCATGCAAACATAGGGACTCGAACTGATTTTTCTGCAATTTTCAGCAACAATAATGTCATTCAAATGGGGTTTGCAAACAAATTAAAAGTCCGTTTTAGAATGCATGAAAACTACATTAAAGTACACTGAATGAAAAATAATTCCATAAAAAGTAAATTCGAGAAAGAGTTGAAGACTCAGGAGAAACAGGCCTGATAACAGAAGGGGTTGGTTCTGAATTTTATGTGGATTTCAATTCAAACATATCATGTTCAAATAACACTATTGAGCAATCCACAAATCCATTTAAAAATCCGTAAAAACAAACAGAAATAAACTACACTAAACAAAGGTGATATTCATGATAAGAAATCTCTAAAAAACATTAGCGAATAAATGAAAAATGTATCTCAACAGTGGACCACAAATCTGGATTTTCTACAATTTAAGAATATACTAAAAATGGTACCATGTTTTAAACAGAATTTCCCATGATCCAGTGTAGCTATTTGGAGATTTTAAAACTAAAACAAGACTCAAGCATCACAAGGCGAATTTGGTAAGAAAGCACACAAAAATAAACTTTATACAACTGGATAATCAGGACCCTCAAGACAGTCATTCAAATGTGAAAATTATTAATCCCCTCTATAAATTTAACTTCATACACCTTCCTCTGTTTGATGAAAAGATCTAGATTATGTAAAGTACTTAATAAAAATAACTACAAACCAGCAACTTCAGCACCTATAGCTTAAAATCAATGACAAATAATATAGGAGGAATAACCGGCATCTATTATTCTTTTTTTTTCGTTCATTTTCCATGTTCCTTTACCTTTCTGGCTTTCTTTCTTTTCCTCAAGCTCAATCAATAATAGATCAAAAGATAGCAAACAGTAACAGCAAAACCATACAGTAGATAGGAAATATTAAATTTAAATAAACAATGGTTGTTCCTTAAGCCCGCACCAGCTCAAAACTAAAGTCCCAAATCAATTCACAAGTTTGAATCCTAATTCACATACTCTTTATTGAAATTCAACTTAAAACAATTTACCCACCTCCAAATGCTAAGGTTTGCGAAGTATGAATACTAACATTTTGTAAAACATTACAAGAGATTCTATCTATCTAATTACTGATGAAAATAATCATACATAGAACAGTTGTTATATAGCAGAGAATCATCTACACAGTGGAGCATGTAATAGGAAAAATCACAAAAATGTCAAGAGGTCTCATTTCCCCAGTTAATAGATTGTCAAAAGTAATTTGTAGCTTAATAATTTTGCTACTTGTATGCGCTTACTATGATTCTAATTCTTGGGCTTCAACAATTGGTGTATCGAACAGAAGCACGCTATTTGGCTGTGCATTAACAGAGATACCTGCGGTTGTGAACATAAAATTTGCTAATGCATGTAACAAATGACATACGAAGGTGGGAAAAATTGTTTAGTCTTACCATGAAAAGATGTTACAACCAGTCTTGTGGCGAGTATTACCGGATTTTTGTGAATGTTGTTAACCAATCATTGCCTTTCTTCATGTAAAGATTCTTCCCAGAGACTGAGAAGTATTGGCCAGCGTCTATAAGTTCAAAGGAATGTGTTATTAATCATAGATTTTAAGGATAAGTGAAGAAAAAACAATAGAAGGTATGTTGTTTGCAGTGTGTTACATACTCTTGATTTACAATGACAAATTCCTGCACGTTTTTCCCTTTTGTTGCAACGAAATGCACCGGATGAAAATGTATGACACTGCATAATATATCTAAAAAGAAGAAATATTATGAGTAGATGAAGA